TTATACGACATAACTAAATTTCTCAATTTTCCAAGAGTAGGTTTTACAACAGATGATTCAACAAATACAGCCATAATGTGACAACAGCAGACTAAAACCCTGTAGTCTTTTTTTATATATAAATTATGCTAAAACGCACATACTGTATATGACATCATAAATTTTGAAATCAGGTCAAAGTTACCTAAAGATAACAACAGAGTTGCAGCTCTGTAGGCTTATTTAATCTGTTACTTTCTACTGTGTTAGAGCAAGTGATGTCATTTTTTTGGTGGGTATTTTGACTGGATCAAATTGGGGTCATAACCCCTTAACCCCCCTGCAAATTATGCCCATGACTGTATCACACTGTACAGTCTGCTCCAAACTGTGTGACCACAATAATAATGTGTGGCCACGAGATACCTATATTTAATCAAATGTCACCAGACAGTAGTTGTATGTGTAACACTTAACGAAAAACAAAACTGTGCTCTATCTGATTTTAAAATGAGATGAACAACAAGTTTGTATTTTCTCATCACATTTAGTTTCTAGTTTGATTTCCACATAGTCTTCTCAAATCTGTCATTTGTTTGGTCTTTCATAAAAAAAATAATTACTTCAGAGCTGAAAATAATTTTAAAGACATAGTTTAACATAATTCAATCTTTTTACTTTTCAAAGTACGACAATTCACTGAAAACATAAAAGAGTAAAAATGTTACATATTCCAGATACTGTAAATCTGTGTCAGATCTTTTTTTCATCGTTTAAAAATAATTTTAAAAAGGAGCCCGTTTTTTCACCAGGGATACAGTTTGAAAAGAAAAAAAAAAGCAGAAAAGGGTCATATTGAGTTGAGCTATAATGGAAAAATGCTGTTAGAAGTCCTACCTCTCTAACAGGGCTGTTAACAGGGTGTAAAATACATCACTGGTCTTTTYTTCAGYCCCTGGTTCCTGCAGTAGAAACAAAGGTTGTTATTGAATAGACCCTCCAGAATTACCTTGTCCCAAGAAAAGAAAAAAAAGTTTCTGTTTCCTTTGAATATCTCCTGCACATAAAGCACCACATTCATACAAAGTGAAAACTGTTGACGTTACACCGTGTTGGCTCTGATCCAGGTTTCCACCACAGCTTACGTCCACATCACCGAGTTTACAGAAACAGCCGAGGAAAAATCCTCCTGTGAAAGTTAAAAATGTTCGAGGGCGTTTCCTCCTCTGCGCTGAACTCCCTGCAGACCATTAATTCCCACTAATAGTGGCTCTCGAACCTCATCGGAAACTGTTGCAGGGGATACGCAATTCACACCCATTTAGCCTTTTTTGTTTTTCCTCTCCGGTAACAGAGCAATGAATTTCTGTAAATACAGCCGTGGAAGGCAGGAGATGAGAATTATGAACAACACATGACATTTAACAGGCTAAATGTGAATAAATTAAATGTTGCAATTACAGCTCAATTCACTCTGTTCATTTAGATGAAATGCTCAGGGCAGATTATTATTGTAGGTTTTGAAGGATGTACAAGACATTTAATGCAGTTTACCACTGCTTGAAGAAAATGGCTGTTACACTATGCTTATTATTTTCATTTTCCATTTTCTGACCCACATTTGTAGCAGAAAACACTCGTTCCTTAGCATGCTAATTGTTGAACTACACTGAACAAAGAGTTCAACAGTGAGGCCTTGATCYTTTTATCCTTAAAGCAGGCATTCAAAGTGCATTATTTATAATTAGCCAAATGTTTAAAAATTGCATTTTTTTTATCTCCACAGATGCAGAAATGTTTCTTATCCTCTGAACCTTCCTCAAGTGAGCATTGTGTTCATTTTTGTGAATGAAGCCTTGTCTGTCATCCTGCGGTCCATAAACTCTGCCATCAACAGGACACCTTCCCACCTTCTTAAAGAGATAATCCTGGTAGACGACAACAGCAATAACAGTAAGCAGCATCATTTTATACAACAACTCACAGCTGACACCTTAACACCCCCCCTTAAATTGTTATTTTGCTGTTGTAGCTGAGCCTAAAATCCAGGCATGGCAGGTTTTTAAAGCGTTGGCTTTATCAACATGTTGAAAGCGATGTGCATTTGTRTGTGGTGGTGGAGATATTCTGAATTCCTCAATACTCTTCTATAAGCTTCTGTGAGATAACTGAGTGTTTATACTCAGTTGCCCAACCAGCCCATATTTCCAAAGCAGAGGGGACCAGCATCAGATAAGCAGCACACATATCAGTGCATCCACTGTGCTGCGTGTTTACACTGGATGATATCAGAAAGTCACAGCTTCTTTTGCTTTTTTTTTATTGGTCTGGGGAAGTTTCCTGTGCCAACAGTAAAACAGAACCATTTTTTTTTTTGGGGGGGGGTCCCCAAATAAATTGCAAATTTTTATTTTAATTGCCATTTTCTATAAAATACTTAAGGTAAAAATAAGTAAATAAAAATTGTGTGAATTTAAGCCAGGTTTTTAGTTTCTGCTCAATTGGATGAGCTTAGATTGTCTTGCCAGGGTTTCAACTCAGATATTTTTTTCTAACACAGAGAC